ATTACAATAATCACCAGTACAGCACGATATATCCTATAAAGTGATCAAAAATGTTAAAACCAATCAATATGTCACAGAAAAGGAAACACTCAACTAACAAATAAATAGTACGTACCAATAATTGAACGCGCATGCGCATAAGCGCAGTTTATTATTCTCGAATATCATTTTCGCGATTGACTTCAATTCGACGTGTCATAAATCAAATATCAAGTATAGAAAAATTGTGACGTGCGTGCCAATAGTTGAATTACTATTCCATAACACCAATACTATTTGATAAGCATACAACTTGAAAACACAGTTTGTATTCTGCGATTTTCCGTAATTCCAACATCCTGTATAGATAAATTGTGACGTCACTGAAAAACAGACTTACCTGAATGTATTGATTATTGCACATATTCTTGGTGGATTGCTCACCGAGGCACCCAAGTAAGTAGTTATATGACCCCCCGTAACTGATGTAACACGAGCCATAGACGGTACAGGTATCCTGGTCATAACAGGGTGGATTGCACTTGCAGATCACCTTAGACGGTTGTATGAATGGGCGGCCACCAGAACCTTCAAAGGATGATTCAAATTCATCCGAATCTTGCGTGCTGCTGCTGTACGGTAGCTCTGACGGTGGCGGTGGTTCATACGAGGACGAAAGCACTTCATTTTCCCAGTCCCTGGTATCCCTAACTGTGGATGGAAAATATTAATATAAAGTGACTTTTGAATTAGGTGCCACGTTCGACGTATTCAACGTGTATTCCAGGCGAAGTACAAGACGCATTTGTTTTCACAACAATCAAACGCGTTGTGCAACGACCACGAATATCAATGTCGATTTTATTTACGATTAGTACATGACAGAAAAAACATTTCAAGTTACCTTTTTTCAGAAAGTTCCTTTCAGCGGTTAAACACTGTAAAATCGCAAGGAGGGACAGACACACAATATAATACGCCATGGCTTCGTGTTGACAAGATATGAAGAGTGCAATATATTGACGTGTCGTTTTATAGTCGATGAGTACAATGGTAATTATCAAAATTATAAATACAGCTTTTAAATTGCAAATTAATCAGAGTGGAAGAGGGTGTGGTTGTGAAGTGGTTCAGTCGAAACAACTGAACTCTATTCACATCATGTTTGCGGAACTCAAAATATGGATAAGTAAACAAAGTCTTCGTTGAAAAAAGGCGTATAAATAGTCGCTACATGTGAGAAAGTCCCGATACTATTTCCCATATGTAATGTTGTCCATTGCATTAAAGCATGTAGACGATTCCAAACGGAAGCGATGTTAATTAGCCTACAATTAGAGGTCAGGTATAGTGCCCGTAATTAAAACGACGGAAATTGAAAAATTATAATGAGCTCGAGTAATTGGAATTTTAACGAAACTCTGTTGTTTATTTGAAAACACATATTTTCAAAATAAGTCGTCATTTCCACCGACACTCTTTAACCAGATCATTCGGGCATAAGTTTCACCGCAATTTAAGAGTAGGCCCTGGTGTTAGCAATCACAAATTTAAAATACTGGTTCTCTGAATTAGAATGGACGCACGCGTAATGACGCATGCCGACTCAATTAAAATATAAATGAACATAGACAAAAGAAATTAGTGGATTCACCAATAATAGAAAAGAAGAGAACGGGAGGAGACGGTAGAGGATCTCGGTATCTGACCACGCCTTACAAAGATCCCCACAAATTATAGTGTGAAATATTTTAACGTGACCCAATCTCTCGTAACCATGCCAACAGAAACGTTGAAACGAAAATAAAATTAATCCAAACAACAATTATTGGCTTCTATGAACCATGCTGCAAGACAAGCGAGGTTGCGGGGGGGGGGGGGCTGAGTAGTAGTGTTTAGAGGGAAGTACATACTACGTACAATGTCTGATGGAACCTGACCTTGTTTAAACTAGAATTGGTGCCATATAGAGTTATGAACTAAACCTTATTTACGACTAGGTAAATTTGATACTCAAGTGCTAGATAGAATCAGTTTGTTTGACATCGTGTATTAGAAACAATGGGGGGGGGGATAACTGTTGGAGTATTGAGGCTTGAGATCACGTGACACAGATACATACGAGCCCCCTCCCCCAAGCGGAGTGAACTCAGTATAAACTTATTATTTAAAACATATTTCTGATATTTATACATTTTTATTTTATTTAACTACAAAATATGTATATCATATTCGCCTACAATTTCAGTGTGTTTTAAAGTTTGCCCTTTGTGTTTGTATTCCCACTGCCATGAGCTACGCCAAATCTATGTATTTTAGCGAGGTCAAATACACGACCTCTCGGCAGAATCACGCAGGAGTTTATGGGGGGGGGGGTATGTTTACATTGAACTAAAGAAACATAGCTTCTTAAAACACGCGTAGATCTTGCTTCTCGCCACAGTTTACGGCACTCACAACACTGACATGATCGTGAAATACTTTATTTGACATAATCGTTGTGTTTTATTTGTTATTGCAATTTTATTGTTTTACATATATAATTATTGTAAAGTAGCACAACGATGCCATTCAAGCCATTTCAGCCATTTTGAACGTGGAAGAAGCTATACCTCGCTCTAACATAGAATTTTTTTTGACGTATTCGACCAGTGTCAATTAACTTAAGGCATTTCGAAAATCGAGAATGTATCGATTATTGCAAACATTGATTAGAGTGGTACGTGTTCGATGTTCGACAACACAAGTAACATTCTGAGGATATCACGTGACATATCATTTGTTTGTAGAGCAGATTGAAACGAGTGACGTCGAATCATATCCTATTATGCTAATTGGGTGTGACGTATACGAAATGCTCATAAATATATTACTATTCTTAGCAATATTTTTGTTTATTATGATTTGTTATCTAGTCAGAAATTCACATATCACAGCGATAAAAACAGTATATCGTAGCACGATTTTATTTTTTGACATACAATTCGAGCAAACAGTGACTGGTGACGTCTTGCGTGTATATCACCACACTAAGCGTCAATATTGTAAATTATATGCATCAGTGACGGCGGCACCGGAAGGGGAGAGGTCGCCCACAAAAAATCGCGGAAACTTGCACCGACGGGCATGTTGAGCAGGACCCCTCCCCAATGCAAAATTTCCAATTTACACATGCGATACACTTACAAATCTCGATTTTTGGAGATTGAAGTAGTAGGCTGTAAATTAAATTTAAATCAGTTCATCAAAAACCTCCACATATGGAACATGAACATGCCAATATTCAAAGCGAGGGGATGTGTTC